TACAAGTAAGGAAACTGAGGCACAGAAAGGTGAAAATGCTTCGCCCAAGGTCACATAGCTCAGTTCCCTGCACCACCTCCTCCCCTCTCACTCCTCAACCCTTTAGACTTTTAACAACTAAAGCTTCTTTTGCATGGTCTGGTTTTTTATTCTATCACTCTACCGGAATACCCCTCCAAAAGTTTCCCGTGATTTTTCACATGCCTCATCGGATGGCTTCTTGTGAATCCTTATCCTTCTTGACCTTGGAAGCCTTTGACACTGTTGTGTTTGACACACCTCTGAATACTCTCTCCTCTTGAGGTTTCTTGACACCCTTCTCTTTTGGTTCTCCGGTTTTCTGTTTGACTACTCCTCAATCAATCTCCTTCCATATCTGCCCCCTGACTGTGGATATAAGTATACCTCAAGGCTCTATCCTAAGCCGTTGCTATGTTCAACTCTCTGCACAACCTCATCAGCCCCCATGAGTTCAACTATCATCTCTATGAAGGGCACAGAGATCTATAAGTCAGATCAGATCTCAGATCCATAAATCCATCCCTGATCTTGTTCCTGAGCCTCAGGAGATAAGCGCTCATTATTTTGTTTCTCTATAGAATGTAATCTTCTGGAGGAAGAGTGTGTTATCTTTCCCTCCATGAATTTCTCGTGACATTTTGTATATACTTCTCCTTTAGACCCTTGTGTATCTATCTTAGCTTCCTTTTCCGACTATAAGCTCTTTGAGAATAAGATCTGTGGCTGATCTCACCTAGAAAGGCAAAGCACCCAGCACTCCACACAGGGCCTCCTACATAGGAAATTGCTTCTTCATTAATGTTTGTTAAATCCAATTGAGGAACTTGGATGTCCCAGGCTGAAGACTGTGAATTTGACGATGTGCAGAACAAAGGCTATGTGAGCTCTTGGACCTGGAAATCCCACCAGCACCTTGAATGAACACTTTCAGTACATTATATGGGGATGGAGTGAAAAGAATACTGGGTTGGGTTTAAAGAGATTGAGGACTATTGTAGAAAGCAATTTCAGATGATACCCCCAAATTTACTAAACTGTACATCCCTTTGACCCGTCAATATCACTTCTACACCTACAAACACCTCCACCCCCATAGAAAAAGGACCTATGTGTTCAAAAATATTTGTAGCAGTTCTCTTTGTGGTGACAAAGCACTGAAAACAGCAAGGGTGTTCATCAGTTGGGAAACGGCTGAACAAATTATGGCATATGAATATAATGAAATACTATTACGTTCTAAGAAGTGATGAAGGGGATGATTTCAGAAAAAACTGGGAGGACTTTGATGAACTGATGCAAAGTGAAGTGTAGCAGAACCAGGAGAACAATTTATGCAGTAATAGCAATATTGTGAGGAAAATCAACTGTGAAAGGCATTAACTCTGGTCAACAACGAATCACAATTCCAGAGGACACATGACAAAACATTTTATCTGCTTCCAGAAAGAGAGCTGATGGACTCAGTGAAGCTTGAAGCATGTTATCTTCTATTTCTTTCTAAAAAGCAAAAAAATCCCAAACAAACAAACCAAAAACCATGGCTAAGGAGGAAGTTTATTTTTGCATGGCCATTCATATTTATAAAGGATTCTATTTTTCTTGCCTTCTCAATGGATGGGGGGAGGGAAAGAATATGGAACTGAAAATAAAATTAATATGAATTGCAAAAAAAAAAAGTTATGGTATAGAAAGACCTGGATGCACTGATGCAAAGTGAAGTGAGAAAAACCAGAACAATTTATATAATAACAACATTGCAAAAAATGAACAATTTTGAAACTCAAGAACTTAAATCAATGCAATGGCCAAGCATGATTCCAGAGGATCAGTGATGAAGAACACTACTTACCTCGACAGAGAGGTGATGGATAGACTAAAAACGTGCAGAATGAGACATTTCTGGACCTGGCCACTATGGAAATCTGTTTTGCTTGACCGCATATTTATTACAAGGGTTTTAATTTTCTTTTCTTTTCAGTGAAGTGGAAGTGAAGAAAAACTAAATGCTTAATAACTGAAAAAAAAGAGACCTGGGTTTGAGTCAGAGAAGTCTTCATAGAGAAAACAGTCATTGGATAGAACCTTAAAGGAAGATTTCAACAAGTAGAATTGGAGATGTCAGTGGGAGGGCTAGAAGACTCAAGCTATGGGTCATGGGAAAATCACAGGATCATCTACTCCATCCCACTCTTTTTATAGACAAGAAAATCAAGACTGGGAAAGGAGACTGGACTTCCCCAAGGTCACACAGACAGTAAATGAGAGAGCCAAGATTTGAACCCTGGTCTCATGACTCCAAATCCCACAATGTTCCTTCTCCCAAGCTACCTTCCTCTCCATTTTTTAACTGTAAAATGGAGGGGGAAAGGGTGTTAGATTGGATTATCTCTAAGGTCCCTTCCAGCTTTAAATCTGTAACTAGGATAAAAATGTCGAGGAAAGGTGAAACCAGATTCTGGACAACGTTGAATTCCAGAATGAGAAGTTTGCATTTTTTTCATGGAAGCCATCAACCCAAGTCTGATTCCAGGCGAGTGCTCCAAGCCTGCACTGAATGGCATAATGCGTTAAGAAGAAATACACACACACACACACACACACACACACACACACACACACACAGAGTCCTTGTGTGTCTCTGGGTCTCTTCCTTTTATGTCTTGGGCTCTGCCTTTCTCCCCCTCTGTGAGTCTATCTCTGTCATTCTAGCTCTCTTCCACGCTCCCTCCGACTCACTACCTTTTCGGCCGAGCCGCATGTGTGCGTGGGAAGCTATGGGAGAGCCGGGGGAGGGACCCCATGTTCTGAGCGGGGTGGAGAGTTATAAGGACAGCTCATTTGCATGTGACTCAAGCGCGGGGGCTCCGCTCTGGGGCTTTCCTCGGGGCGCCCACACAGGACTCAGTGAAAAGGTCGGGATGGAGAGAGGAGGGAGGAGAAAAGGGGGATATGCCGCCAGGTGCACCCTCGCCCCGCTTCATCGCCCCTCTCCCATCCTAACCCCTCCACGGTGCGTGAACCGAGACCTCCTCTGGACATTCTCCTGGGCTCTCCCCTTTCCTCCCGCGCTGGACTCTCAGATCCTGGAGAAGGGAGGCCAGGTTAGGATGTTTGGGGAGAAGATGGACTAGGGTGAAACTAAAGAATAGCATAGAATATTGAGACCCGGAAGGAATCTCAGAAACCGTCAAATCCAATGCCTTCATTTGGCAGATAGGAAAACTGACTTGCAGAGAAAGGGACTTATTTGCCCAAGAGAACCCAACAAGTCCGTGGCAGAAGCAGACCCTAGAAGCCGGATCTAGCCAGGTCCTAGCCCAGGGTTTTCTGCATTAGGCTATACATTGCTTGGAGTGATAAATACCCTCAAAGGAAACAGCATACTCCAGGACAGGCTAGACAACCTTGCAACCCCAGGCGAATTTTTAAAAAAAGCACAGGGGGCTACTTAGGTGGTCGGCACAAGGGCACTGTGGTTGGAGCACAAAGACCCGGGTCCAAATCCTGCCTTGGTCACTAATCTACGTGTGTGACTTTGGGCGTGCCATTTAACCTCATTTCCTCCTCTGTAAAATTAAGGGGTCAGATAGATGGCTTCCAGGTGTCTTCCAGTTCTATGGGAAGGGAGAGGATAGAGTTGAGGGAGCCCTGGACTTATACAGTCAGAGGAAGAATAGCAAAGGGGTTGGGGTGCCTTCAGGAGCTGTCCTAAGTACCTTACTCCCACCCTAGAGGGGCTCATTGGAGCTTCTAAAAAATATTAAAATATTAAAACTTGAGATGTGAAAGAACTGGCTCTTAGAGTATAGGGTGCCAGAGCTGGGAAGGTTCTTATAACAGCCCTTGTGATTCAGCTGCAGCAACCTCTTCTACAACCTTTCTTGATCCCCCCACCAGCTACTAGCCCCTCCCATCATCTCCTCACATCCCTGTTGTACCACACTGACCTGGAACTGATTGCCCTTCCCTCTCAGCCTCCACATCCCAAAACGGGATGTGCAATAGTCTAGGGAGTTCAGCCTGTCTCTCTTCTACAGGGGCATACTTGGCATTAAAGACATTCTGAAAAGGCAGGTATGACCCAGGCCTCCAGTGATAGAGCCAGCTGCTGCAGGAGGTTGGGGGGCAGGGAGTAGAATCTGTAGGCCAGGACTGGTGGGGGAGAAGGGGGAATTAGGAAGAGTCCACAAAAGCAGTTTCAGTTTCAAGGCTAACTGAAATAGCCCTCTCTCTGCATATAAGATTTCTGCAGAATTGGAGGAAGGTAGAAGGAATGCCTATCTCCCCACCCCGATGCAGCCTGCCACCTGTGTGACCAATTCTCTGGGCTATTTTCTCATCTGTAAACATCTGGGCCAAATGATCTCAGATCCACTCCCATCCACTTCTGAAAAGCTTCTGGACTCAAATCAGGAGATGCAGGCTCTAGCCTCAGGTCTGCCCACTAACTCAGCCTCTGGACCTTGGTTGCCCAAGTCTCTTCCCCTTGGAGCTCATTTCCCTATTTGCAAGAAGGGGAGACGATAAAAGGAAGGGGTGGGGACAAGAAGGGAGCAGTTGGGCTGTCTGTGGTAGATTTGCCACCTCTTCAGTTTTGAGTTCTGCCTAATTGAGAACGGGGCAGGCAGTATTCTAAAGCAGCCCTCACGGGGCACACGCCACCGTGGAGAGTTGCTGAGTTTCGCAATAAACCAGTCTTTTAATTGCTGTGCTAAAGGGAGAGGGAGGAAAAAGAGAGAAGAGAGGAGGGGGAAAAAAAAGAGTTAGGCCTTTGTTATTAGTTTGAGGCCTTGGCGCCGACCACAGAAACTGCAGTGTTTTTGCAAACTCTAAGCAAGTTACTCCTGAAGTGGTTTTTAACAGGGAGTTAAGACTTCCTGGTGTAAGGCTGCAGGACAACATTCAGCTGAGCTCCCTCTGGGGCAGCTCAGCCATGAAAGAGTCTGGGGGAGGGGACAGAAGAGCAGACAAGCAAAGGAGCCGGAGAGTGCAGAAATTTATTACCAAACCAGCATTAGACACACACACACACAAAAAAAAATATATATATATATTGATATAAACTTGTCTTCTCTTCTCAAACGGCTCGATTAGTGCAATAACATAAAAATAGATGTATATATATTGTTTGCAGACTGGGAGCTCCTACATACACAGCAGCAGCAGCCTGTCCCAGGCTCCCGGTCTCAGTAGGTCTCTCTAGACCTCCCACCATCAAGTCTTGGTTGCAAATGCCAACTCCCATTTGCAACAGTTAACAGGCCATTGTGGCTGGCCGAAGGGGCAGCCCGACCATCTTGCCTCCATGCATAATCCCTTAGTGGTGGGGGAAAGGCAGGTCTTCCTCCTAATTCCCCGACCCAATCACTGAACTCCAGGTATCCCTGGGTTCCACAGCCCCATTGTCACCTTCTCGCTCTGGCTGGTGGATCTTCCTGAGGCCGACACAGTTCCACCTCTCAGCTCTGTCATTCCTGACCCCAGACTCCACTAGGGCCTGACAGAGGTTCCAGGTGTTTCTTCACCCCATTTCAGCAAGAACATTCTGTCCCTTACACCTCTTCCCGACAGTGGTCTTGATGGTTGGGTTCTGGTGTGGTTTGGGAAGGGGGGGGTTGTTTTTTTTTTTTAAATGTGTCTGCAAGGCAGCAATTTTTCAAGTTTGGGGAAGGCTATCAGCGCTCCTGGAGGGAGATGTTGGGGAGCCACTGGTTGTTCTCTCGGCTTTCCTCACAGTAGCTAGCCACTTCTACCAGTCCATGGCTCTTCCACGAGTCAGTATGAGGATTCTGGGGGGGGGGGAAGAAAAAAAAAAAGAGTATTAGACTAGGGAGGCCCAAGTAAGCAGCACTCTTCCCTCCCCCTCCCCCATTCAGAAAAACAAGGCCCATCCCAAAATAGCACCAAGTTATGAGTTATAGGCCTGGCTGGGTGGGGATACCTGGGCACTGGCCCATGGGTGCCCGGAATAGCTCAGTGCTGAGCTGGCCAGGGCACGAGATGCCCTCTCTTCAAGCCAGATGGCAGAGGATGGAATTCTGAGCCGTCTCCCCACCTCCTTTTGTGCACCTTGTTGACAAACAAAATAACTTCGCTCTCACACCAGGCCCCGAAGGTCCCTATCTATTTGTCTGAGTTGCTAGGTAACCCTGCCCCAAGCTAGGGAGGCACAGGCTCACCCACCGTGACCAGCAGGCAGTGCAGATCCCGGGACTCCTCGCTCTCTTCCGTGGGCCCCGGCTCCCCCAGCAGCTCGGCCAACCTCCTCATCCCAGACACCCGAACTATATCTATGTCGTTGTCACAGCAAAATGCTTGAATCAACGTGAAATGGATCTGCAAGGCGATGTCATCCTCCTCATCCTCATCGATAGCCAAGAGGCAAAGGACCACGCTGTCTGGGTCCCTGAACACGGGGAAGGGACGGGCGGAGAAAGGGGGGAGAGAAGTGAGCAACCCTCAGTCAGGGAAGGGGCTCGCGAGCTTTGGGGGCATGCTGCAAAACTCCTACTGCACATCTGTGGGCTGTGCACAACGGGAAAGCGGTACCGCATCGCCCACCAGCCCTCCACCCCGGCAGCATGAAAAAGACAGGCAGAAACTCACACATTCATCAGCTTAGCCGACTCATACACGCCCACTGTCAGGCGGTCTTGGCGCTGCGCCGCTACGAGCAGCTCCTCCACTGCATTGCTAACCGTCTGCATCCTGGAGAGAAACCGAGGCACAGAGCGTAAGAGATCAGGAAAGGTGATGGGGTGGAGAAGAGAAGGGGCGATCGCAGACAGTCCTTTTTAGAAGTAGGGACCCCCTCCCCCTTGGACACTCAGAGGGGCGAAGGAATGGGTCCGAGACCCCGCTCGGCGGCAAAGCAGCAACACTGTGAGCTCCTGGCCAGCCCGGGAGGGGGGGGTCATCGGAGCCTGGAACATCTGCCCCACAGGGCGGAGAGGACGTCAGCCCCGGGTCGGACACTCACTTCTGAGCGGCACTCTCGCAGGCCACGACTTCTTCCAAGGTCATGGTGCAACTGTAATCCACAGTGGAAGGAGCTCCCAAACTAGTCGGAAACAGAGAAGCCGAGATCCCGAAGTCCAAGTCGGCGGAGCCTGGAGCAAGGCGTCCCTCCGTCCTGAGAGAGAAGGAGGTGGCTGTGGCAGAGGCAGCCACGAGTCCCGAGGCAAAAAACCCCGGAGCGATGATGAGAGAATTCCTCAAAAAAAAAAAGAAAAAAGAAAAAAGCAAGATTCCCCGAGCCAATGCAATTAATCCAGCGAGCAAGCAAACGAGAAGCAGCAAACAAATCCAGGCGGCGTTACATCCAAATTATCTCTTAGATCTGCAACCGGGCCAAAGCTCTACTCCCGCGACTGCCGCCGCGCCCTCCTTATATGGCCTTCGATGGGAAAGGGGGCGTGGCCTCCCAGAGCCCTCCGCCACATTCATTGGCCTCTAGATCAACGAAAACGAAGGCAGCCCTGGCTGCTATTGGTTCGGCGTGCAGAGCAGCAGGAGGCTTTGGGCTGGCTCGGATCTCCCCCGGGGCAGCCCCACGTGGGGGTTCCAGGCGCGGGAGGGAGGAGAGGGGGGAGTAGCCGAGAACGGTTGGGTACTTTTTTTTTTTAAAGGAGGTTTCGAGTGAATTTCCCGTCAGCGGCTCCCAGTTTCTGCACGGGATTTCCACCGCGCGGCTAGTGCATGTGATTTTGCAGAAAGCTGCTTTCCGGAAGGAGAGATCTGTCTAGGTGACACCATTGCAGTCCTCCCGGCAGGTCTGTGTCCCAGTTCCCCCCCATCCCCTGCACCAGGGCATAGTTTTCAACGGTAGTTTGGGCCGGAACCCCCAGCACCGCTTGTGGCTTCTTGTGCCCAGGCCCGGGGGAGCCCAGTTGGACCCAGCCAGCTCCTCTGCACGGCACCTTTCCCGGCGCTGCAGGGCTGGAAATAATCCTGCGCTTTAAAGTTTATAAAGCGCTATCCTCGCCACAGCCCTAAGTGCCACCCCCCACATCGCATTCCTGCACATATCGGGTGGGCTTTAAGGTTTGAAAAACAAAGCACTTCTCCCCACCCCACACCCAACAACAACCCCGGTCAAGTTAGCAGTACGAGTATGAGCGCCCCCATTTCACAGACGGGGGAACTGTCTCTGGCAAAGTGACCAGCGGTCACGCAGAGTGTGCCCTCTTTTTCATTGCATACTAAGAGTTATGCAAGCGTTGCTTAGTTTCGCTTAACAGATGGGGAAACTGAGATTCAGGACAGGAAGCTGCTGCCAGAGTCAGTGTCAGAGCAGGGACTGAACCCACGTTTCGACTGACATGGCTCTTTCCATTATCACATCGGGCGCCTAACCTAAATTTGGAGGTCTGTGTGACCTAAGGCAAGCCCCTTCCCTGCTCGGGGCCCAAATTTCTTCTGCAAAAGGAGTTTGGACTAAATGATCTCCAAGGTTCCTTCTAGCTCTTAATCCGGAGGTTCTGGAATTCTGTTTTATTCGGATGCAGATTTGTTTCAAGCAGAGAAGAACCCAGTAATAGTTTGCTGAGGTCCACTAACTCATCCTAGACATAGGGCAGCCCCAAACGGTCTAAAAATAGTATGTTTTGGAGGGAGGGGGGATTTTCCCAGGACATCTAGCCTTGGAATAAATAGGACCTTTTCTTGGATCTCAGAGTGTGAGACCTGAAAGCTGCAAGACGATTGTCTGGGCCGCCCCAGGAACAGCTCCCACCTCAAAGTCAGAGCCAGAGCAGGGAAAAAAGCCCCCCCCCCCACACACACGACTCGGATGAAAGAGCATTATACCTAAGTCTTAGGCTCCTGGTCAAGCCCTTTATAGCTGAGCGACCAAGTCATTCAGGGCAAATCAGACTCTTGGAGCCTTAGTTTTCTCATCTGGGAAATGGGGACAATAATGCGCAGTCTATGGATAGTGAGGGGAGATGCTGTAAAGCTTAAATGGTAGTTCTGCGGCACCTAGCAATGAAAAGCGTGTGAGATGGGGCGAGGGGCATGGGAAGGGTTCATTGCTCCTCGCTTCCTTAGGGTAGGTGGGAGTGATAGTGGAGTGGCTTCAGCCTCGGGGCCTGCTGCTAGAACTCTTCCTGCCAGCCCGATCCCTAGTCACTCTCCACGGCCCACTGTGGCGCCCAGTAACGATATCGCACAGCCGGGCAACCCTGCCTCCTCCACCTCTGGTGGGCCCAGAGTGCCTGGGGGCAGAGAGTGCGAACTGTGGGAGGGAACAGGTGACGGCACTCGTAGGCTCAGTCTGGGGCGACGGCGCCCTCTGCCGGCACCTCTCTCCTCCCAGCCTGGCTTTCACAACCCAGAACCTGAAGATGAGGGTGGGAGGAAAGGGAAGGGGCGTGGATGGAGAAGGCTTAGAGTAGACTGTCAGAGCTGGGAGCGGGGGAGGGGGAGAGGAGGAAGGCTTAGAATGCGGAACGTAAGAACCGGGAAGACCCTGAAAAAAAACACCGGCTGTCAGAGCTGGGAGGACCCTTAGAACACGACGTCTGAGCTGGAAAGGCGAGTAGAACATAGAATGACAGAGCTTTGGGTGGGGGGCATCCTTAGAGCACGGGAGAGCCCTTAAAACACAGAATGTCAGAACTTGGGGAGAGTGTTCTTAGAGCATTGAATGACAGAGCTGGGCAGGCCCTTAGAACAGGAATTGTCAAAGCTGTGGGTGTGTGTGTGTGGGAATCCTTAGAGCATGGGAGGGCCCTTAGAACATAGAATCTCAGAGCTTGCTGGGGGGCACTGTCCTTAGAGCATAGAATGACAGAACTTGGGGGAGGGTGTTCTTAGAGCGTAGAATGACAGAGCTGGGAGGGCCCCTAAAACATAGAAAATCGAAAATTTAGAATACAAGAGATAAAATGTCAGGGAGACCATCTAGTCCAAGTCCCTTCCTTTTCCAAGGAAGAAACAGAGACCTTTGGGGTTAAATGATCAAGCCAAGGTCACATGACTACAAATGTCAGATCCCAGATTAAAGCCCAAATCTCCAGCCTAGGACTTCACCAACTGCTGCTGACATTGTTACTGTTGTTATTCCCTTGTTTTCCCTGTGCCTCAGTTTCTCCCCCTTTGTAAAGTGGACAGGCCAAAATCCCCAGCAGTTGAGGTAGGCCAAGGGTGCCCTGGTCTGGCAGGAAAGGTGGATGGGGAGTGCAGGAGGCATCTGAACTCTGCTCTCAGGTCTACTGATGAATTGCGTGGCCCTCGGGCAAGTCATTCTGGATCTCTAGGCCTTTCTCTTCCTCTGTGACATAAGGGTGTTGAGCATCGCCAAGACAGAACACACTGAGAAAAGGACAGCCAGGAGAGTCCGAGGCCTGGAGAATTCAGCACATCAGTGCAAAGGCAGTGGTCAGTAAGGGCGCCGTATGGGCTACGGCTCAAACTGATGGAAGTGGAAACGTTGAGCCTGGATAAGAGAAGACTGAGGGAAGACAGGATGTTTTCAAATATTTGAAGGGCTATCTTGTGGAAGCTAGATAGCATGATGGATAGAGTGTCGGGCCTGTGATCAGGAAGACCTGAGTTCATGTCCAGCCTCAGATACTTCCTAGCTGTATGACTCTGGGCAAGTCACTTCACCCTGTTTGCCTCAGTTTCCCTCATCTGTAAAATGAGTTGGAGAAGGAAAAGGCAAACTACTCCAGTTTCCTTACCAAGAAACCCCAAATGGGATCACAAAGAGTCAGACATGACTGAAAAATGACTGAACAACTACATTCGTATAGTGCTTACTATGTGCCAGGCACTGTGCTTTACAATTATGATCTCATTTGATCTCACAACAGCCCTGGGAGGTAGGTGCTATTATTATCCCCATTTTACAGATGGGAAAACTGAGGGAAATAGAGGTAAAGTGACTTGCCTAGGGTCATGCAACTGGGAAGTGTCAGACCCTTCCTAGGGGTCTTTAAACAAATACTGAGTGATCATTATTAGGAATGTTAGATGGGATACCTACTAAGGTGTGCCAGGTTGGACCTGATGCCCTGTAAGTTCCCTTCCAACTCTGGGATTCCATGATTAGATGTGAACATTGTAGAATAAGCACTGGTTTTGAGATTGAGGACCTGAGTTCGAATACCAGTGCTATTAGAAAATTACCTACGAGGGGTGGCTAGGTGGTGCAGTGAATAGAGCACTGGCTCTGAAGTCAGGAGGACCTGAGTTCAAATCCGGCTTCAGACCAAACACTTGACACTTTACTGGCTGTGTGACCCTGGGCAAGTCACTTAACCCCAATTGCCTAAAAAAAAAATTACCTATGCAACTTTAGGCATTAACTTAATCTCTCTGGGCATCAGTTGACCCATTTGTAAAATGGGGGGGGGGAACGTGTGTTTGACTGGATGATATCTAAACCTTCTTCCTGTTCTGATATCTAAACCTCCTTCCTGTTCTGACATTCTGTGATTTTTCAGCTCTCAAATTCAGAGGTTTTCATTCTGAGGGACTGCCCAGGCAGGAAACATGATTCGCTACTACCATCTGTTGGCCAACACAAGTATTACCAGCCCAGAGACAAACTTAGGGTCAGAACAGGTAATGACATGGGCAGAGCCCCCGTGGGGAGATGAAGGGAAGGGAGGGAGCCCTTTGTGCAGAGGAAGGAAAGACCTGGGCCTGAAAGGGAGGGTTGGGGCTGCCAAGGGAAATTCCGGTTGGGAGTGAGAGGGCAGGGGAGGGGAGGGAGTGGAGGGCAGGGGTCAAAGATCAGTCATGTGCCCGAGTGGGAGGGGGAGATAATCACCTGGGGAGACCTAGCCAGCAGGACTGGGGAAAAATCACAGGGATCATAGCTCCAGACTCCATCTCAGAGGACACTTAGTGATCCTCATTTCACAGATGGGCCCAGACTAGCCCAAGCTCACCCAGGTTCTAAGTGTGAAGGCTGGATGTCCAATCTAGGCCCTCTGATTTCCCAGCCAGTTTTCCCCTCTTTCCACTGTTTCCATTCTCACTCATCTCAAAGCAAACTGCCCTCACTTCCTTCTGTTTCTCTTCTTCTCCCCTCTTTTTCCACTCCCCACCTACCAAGCTACCGCATGCCATGAGATCAGGTGATGAACTAAGGAGGCTTCCTAAGGCCGGTTATACTGCAAAACCAAAAATAAAAAAAAAAATCTCTGGATTTAGAGACAGACTGAGGATTTGACTGCCAATTTACTAGGTAGATGACCCTGCGTCAGTCACATGGTCACTGGACCTTTCTGGGCCTCAGCTGTGGACTCAATAAGATGAGGTGATTGGGCTAAAAGGTTCCACTGCTCCCTAAAAGCTCAGTCATTCTCTGTGCAATGTTCTAGGTCCTGCTAACTGCGCAAATGAACCTGGCTGAGTCACTTCCCAGAGCTGCAAGGCATGGGTTCCCTCGTCTGTAAAGTAAGGTTAGACTGAGCATGGGCACCTTGTCTGGGGTCCCTGAACCTGGTTTGTTAATGATTTTGAAGACTATATCACAATAGAATTGGATTCCTTTTTAATCTTACATGTTTTATTTCACACATTTACAGACATGATTCTATGGGCAGCTAGGTGGCGAAGTGGATGGAAATGGCAAACCACTCCAGGCTGTTTGCCAGGAAAACCCCAAATAGAGTCACAAAGGGTTGGACGGGACTGACACAGCTGAACAGCACTATATGCAAGGCGCTGTTGGGTGCCAGAGTTCCTCCTAGCTGCCAGTGCCCTCCCCACCCAACTCCACCCTAAGTCACCTTATATTTATTTCGCATACACTTAAATATGTCCACGTTGTTTCCCCTGATAGATTGTAAGCTCTGTGAGAACAGGGACTGTTTGCTTTTTGTCTTTAGATCCCTGGCTCCTAGTACAATGCCTGGCACATAGTAGGCATTTAAATGCTCATTGATTGATTGATTATGACAAAGACCTTTTCATTTTCATCCTACTCTTTCCTTTGAGTCATCCTTCACCCCCCCAAACCCCCCCCCATGATGTAGAGAAGGTTTCCAGGCTTGTATCTCTCCATGCACCCACACTGGGCCTTCTAAGAATTGACTGGGTGAGGCTTCCCAGAGCCTATGGGGGTGGAGGGGTGAGGGGTGGAGATACAATCCTGAGGATATCCAAAAACTGAGCTAATGAGGATGGCCCGACTGACTCCTGGCCCCCTCAAGAGAAGGCATCAGAACCAGCGAGACCTCGTGCTGGGACCCACAGGCCTAGGAAATTACCGGACCTATCTTATTCTCATTCACAAACACATCTGTCCATAGTCACAAATGTCCAGGCGCATACTCATCTGTACATAGGCTCAGAGATGGAAATGCTGCAAGGCACCTAAAAGACTGTCTAGTCCAGGGGTGGGGAGCCTGTGGCCTCCAGGCCACGTGTGGCCCTCTAGGTCCTCAAGTGTAGCCCTTTGACTGAATCCAAACTTCACAGAACAAATCCCCTTAATGAAAGAGGATTCTGTAAATTCTGTAAAATTTAGACTCAGTCAAAAGGTTGCACCCAAGGACCTAGAAGGCTACATGTGGGCTCGAGGCCAAAGGTTCTCTACCCCCGAAATCTAGTCTAACGCCACCCACTCCGCATTTTATAGATGAGAAATCCAAGGCATTCGGAGGTTAAGTCTCTTGCCCAGGGTGACGCAACTATTAAGTATCAGAGGCAAAATTTAAAATCAGGTCTTCCTGACACCAGGCCCAGCACGTATCCACTGGGTCACCTAGCTACTTCCCTATCCCATGAGGCCTTCCCTTCTTCTGGTTGGTTGGAGGAGGCCCCTCAGGCCATTTAGGCCAACCTTGCTTAGTAGTCTTCTCTATGACATCTTTAAAAACTGCTTGGAAATCTACGTTAAGGGGAACCAGGGGCATGCTGGTAAATATTTAACAATGAGCTCTCCAGGGGGTGGGGGTAAATGTATATAAATTTAATCTGCATTATTAAGTAACATTTTTTTCCATCACTTTCTTAAGTCAATCTAGACAATCAACAAAACATAAACGAAGCCCTGATTTGTAGCATTCGCCTGACTTCAGAGGTTTAAATGCTCACCTTGAAAATTTAACAATCTGCTCACGAGCTGGTTCAAACTATCTGCAGCACACTTCTGGGGGGGAACCCATTCAATACCGCCTGAGTCAATCCATTCCCTTTTATGGACCACAGTAACTGTTAGAAAATTTTTTTGCTTGCATCGAGCCTAAATCTGCTTTCCTCCAACTTCAGTGAGCATTTTCAACATACATGTGTCGGTCTCCTTTGTATGTGCCAGGCACTTGGAATAAGCTGGACCCTGACCTCCAGAAATACTTCCCTGGCCCACCTCCCAGCCCAGAGAGTTAATGCACCCCATTTGGGAGCTGCCCTCCCCCAGGAGGGTAAGTGAGTCAGTCCCAGCCTCTGTCCAGCTTGCTGTTCCTAGGCAGCCCCACACCCCCAGAATGTGCATTGCTCTGTCCAAGCCAGCCATCCACCTGAATACCAGGCCCCAGCTAGCCTGGGCATCCTGCCACATACCCTGCTGGCCATGTTTCTTTCCCTACACACACACACACACACACACACACACACACACACACACACACACACTTTTCACCTCTTGCTCTGAGTGCAATAATCAAATCAATATTTGCTAAGACGTGGAAAGAACAGCAAAACAATTGAAACTGAATGATGAGAAATCCTAATGACCAACCCTGGCCTCAGAGAAGAAGACACCTCCCTCTTTTCTTCCCTAGGGCAGGGCATGGAATGCTACATATAAAGTCACACTTTCTCATATGCTGATAGTTTTGCTAAGCTAGGCTTTGATTTGCCTTCCTCTTTTATTCTTTGTTATAAGGGATTGGAGGGGAAGGAAGAAGGAATACATTGGGAAATATAGACGAAATAAAAATAAAAGATATTAATAAATTGTATTTTGAAAAATTCAATCCCACCATTCTTCCTGGGAAGGCTTTGCCAGTCTATTGCCCTTTGGTTCAGCTCACAATCCCTGTGACTGCCTGGACCAATGCTTCCTTCCTGGGCTATCACTCTCCAATGTGTTGTACCCCACCCCCACCCCCTCATGGACTAGAAGGTCCTCAAAAGCAGGGACAGTCTTTTATTTGTATCCCTAACATTCAGCAGAGTACCTGGAACATAGTGGTTGCTTAATAAAATGTTTCCTGATTGATTTTGTGGCTCAATTGTGTCTGACTCTTTGTGACCCCATTTGGGGTTTTCTTAGAGATACTGGAGTGTTTTGCCATTTCCTTCTCCAGCTCATTTTACAGATGAGGAAACTGAGGCAAACAGGATGAAGTGACTTGCCCAGGGTCACACAGCTAGTAAGTGTCTAAGGTTGGATTTGAACTCAGGCCCTGCCCTCTATCCACTGTGCCACCTAGCTGCCCTTGATGGAAGTTACAAAGACAAGAATGAAACCATCCCTGCCCTCAAGAAACATATTTAACTTCCACCGATTGCCCCTGCTCTGGCCTCTGGTGCCAAGCAGAACAAGTGTCATCCATCCTTTTTCCACTGGACAGTCCTTCAAATACCTGAAGACAGTGATTCCCTTCACCCTTCTATCTCTTCAAAGAGTCTGATTCCTTCAGGGGCTGAGTCCTGTTAGGAGCATATTTTTTCACCATCCTGCTTCTCCTCTTCTCTACATGTGCCAGGTTGTCTATCTGGAAGCCTGCCATTTTACAGAAGAGGAGACTGAGGCCCAAGGGAAAGGGAGTGGCCTGCTTATTCCTACAAGCGGTTAGGTGGCCCAGAAGAGAGAGTTCTGGGCCTGGAATCAGGAAGACCTGGGTTCAGATTTTATGTCAGAAGCTCACTAGCTGTGGGACCTTGGGACAAGTCACTTGCACGCTATTTGCCTCAGTTTCTTCAACTGTAAAATGAGGATAATAATAGCACCTACCTCCCAGGGTTGTTGTGAAGATCAAGTGAGATAATATTGGTAAAGCACTTAGCACAATGCCTGGCACACAGTAGGCACCTAGTAAATGCTTATTCTCTTTCCCCTTCGCCTGCCCATAGCAATTCAGTGGCAGATCTGGATTGTCAAATTCCAAGTCCTCCCCAGTCCAGTCCCTTTGTAGAATGTCAGAGCTGAACAGGGACTGATGAAGAACCAGAGAGAACTCATTGGCCAACTTAGATTTTTAAAAATTATTCATTTAGAACTTTCCCCCCCAATGACATATAAAAATAATTTAAAAATTTTTTTTATTAATTTATTTTGATTTATCAACAATCACTTCCATAAGCTTTTGAGTTTTAAATTTTTCTCTCCCTCCCCCCACCACCTCCCTCCCCAAGACAGCATGCGATCTGATATAGGCTCTACGTATACATCCCTATTAAACATATTTTCACATTAGTCATGTTGTAAGGAAGAATTAGAACCAATAGGAGGAACCACAAAAAAGAGGAAACAAAACAAAACAAGGGGAAAAAAGGCAAATAGTATGCTTCCATCTGCATTCAAACTCCACAGTTCTTTCTTTGGATGTGGATAACATTTTCCATCATGAGGCCTTTGGAGATGTCTTCGATCCTTGCACTGCTGAGAAGAGTTAAGTCTATCAACATTAGTCATCGCACAATGTAGCTGTTACTGTGTACAACATTCTCCTGGTTCTGCTCACTTCACTCAGCATCAGACCATACAAGTCTTTCCAGGTTTTTCTGAAGTCTTCCTGCTCATCATTTCTTATAGCACAATAGTATTCCATTCCATTCATATACCACAACTTGTTCAGCCATTCCCCAACTGATAGGCATCCTCTCAATTCCCAATATTTTTCCACCAGAAAAGAGCTGCTATAAATATTTTTATTCATTATAGGTCCTTTTCTTTTTTGTTTTTATCTCTTTTGGGATACAGACCTAGTAGTTGTATTGCTGGGTCAAAAGGTGTGCATGGTTTTATATCCCTTGGGCATAATTGGAAATTGTTCTACATAATGATTGAATCAGTTCACAACTCTACCAACAATGCATTAGTGCCTCAATTTTCCCACATCCCCTCCCACATTTGTCATTTTCCTTTTTTGTCCTATTAGCCAATGCAATAGGTATGAGGTGGTACCTCAGAATTGTTTTTAGTTTGCATTTCTCCACTCAATAGTGATTTAGAGCATTTTTTCGTATGGCTACATATGGCTTTGATTACTTCATCTGAAAACTGACTTCATATCTTTTAATTTTTTATCAGTTGAGGAATGGCCCTTATTTGTAGAAATTTGACTCATTTCTCTACATATTTGAGAAATTAGGCCTTTATCAGAGAAACCTGCTTCAAAAATTTTTCACAATTGTGATTACTAACTATATTCCCCTCCCTCCTATTTTCCCTTATTTATTCTATCCTCTCTCTCCTTTCACTGTGTCCCTCCTTAAAAGTGTTTTGCTTCCAACCATTTCCTCCCCCAATCTGCCCTCCTTTCTATCAGTAACCCCCTACCCGATTGTCTTATCTCTTTCCTCTTCTATACCCAACTGAGTGTGT